GTTGAAAAGTGTGAAATCTTTAAAATTCTCTTACTACTGTCTGGATATGCAGGAGGCAGTTGATGTTTATGGATAGAGAGAAAAGACATACCAAAATTTAGCAGGCAAAATTTAAGTTGGGAGGGATGCCCTCAGAGCACACTGAACAATGAAAATCATTAAGGATACTAAAAAGAATTGCTTCACATATTAATACATACATATGTCTCTGTGTGTCTATATACACACATACACATGCATGTAAAAAAATATCATTATATATAAGTGAAGCTTGAAAAGGTGGGTTTACAGAAGAGAAGAGTATCTTTAAGTAGAGGTGCTCTTTGCATGTTGCAAATCCATACTTCCATGGAAGTCTGTATTATAATGCTCCGTTAGCCTTACTGTTGGCCTGGTTATGTTGGTGATAAACATTGGACATCTGAATATTTGGTATGAGAAAAACACAATTTTTTACCAAACAGATTTCAGTTTAGCCTGGGAAGTTCAATCTGTCATTTAGAATCTGATAGATTATTTCTGTCTTCCTGGTGTGGATTCATGTCTATTTTCCTTTTTTTGGAAGAAAAGTTACAGAATATGACAATACAGTCCTTGTCTCTCAAAGAAAAAAAAAAAAGTTCATTCAAAATACTTAGTGTGTTCTTTTTTTTCACGCTTGAGCCTGTTTTTTCTCACTTCTTGCTGTATTTTTTTGAAAGCCTGTCCTTTTCTGATCAGAATTACTTTTTTTTTTTTTTTAATGGTGTCTAGCAATGAGATTCACAAGGCAAAATTTTAAAGTTTTTGTTTTGTCCTCTGTAGCCAGAAAGGCTCCTTGTGCACATGGGGTCTAACCATGTCCCTTCACTGTAACAGAGCCAGCTGTTCATCTCTTGTCCTGACTCTGTAGCTGAGGAAGGATACACATATTGGATAAAATACACCCATTGTTCAAGCCAGATTGAAGTGGGATTTGAGTGTTCCTTGGCCAATAAAGAAAATTAATTTTATTCTTTCTGTAAGGGTAATGATTTTCTACAGAGGAGAACACAATGTCTTGCCATTTCTCCACTGTCATTGCCTCCACCTCATTCCCCCTTCTGCTAAGTCGAAGTCTGTAAGTACAAAGACAGAGTTAACTTTCTTGGAAGCATATCAATGGGTAGAGCAAGAGGGGAACTCCTCACCAGGGGCAGTGACTTGATACAGTCCCTCACACCTTAAGAAGAGCTCCAGGAGAGAACCAAGTTGACTTCTGTCTGCTGGTGAGCTGGGAAACTGAGAAGGAAGATGGTTAGGTGAGCAAATGAAAGTAGCTTCTTCTGTACAGGACAGCATCATCATCATCTATGGCAAGAGTTGTGGAGAGGGAGAAGTACAATGCTATTTTATTAAAATCACTCACTATCTTCCAGTTATTTTTCTATGGAGTAGTTTAAGACAGTTAAATACATCTGGGTTAATTTCTGCAAATGCTGTATGTTTATTTTTATTTTCTCAGCCATGTATTTAGCCTGTTGAAAAGTGTGAAATCTTTAAAATTCTCTTACTACTGTCTGGATATGCAGGAGGCAGTTGATGTTTATGGATAGAGAGAAAAGACATACCAAAATTTAGCAGGCAAAATTTAAGTTGGGAGGGATGCCCTCAGAGCACACTGAACAATGAAAATCATTAAGGATACTAAAAAGAATTGCTTCACATATTAATACATACATATGTCTCTGTGTGTCTATATACACACATACACATGCATGTAAAAAAATATCATTATATATAAGTGAAGCTTGAAAAGGTGGGTTTACAGAAGAGAAGAGTATCTTTAAGTAGAGGTGCTCTTTGCATGTTGCAAATCCATACTTCCATGGAAGTCTGTATTATAATGCTCCGTTAGCCTTACTGTTGGCCTGGTTATGTTGGTGATAAACATTGGACATCTGAATATTTGGTATGAGAAAAACACAATTTTTTACCAAACAGATTTCAGTTTAGCCTGGGAAGTTCAATCTGTCATTTAGAATCTGATAGATTATTTCTGTCTTCCTGGTGTGGATTCATGTCTATTTTCCTTTTTTTGGAAGAAAAGTTACAGAATATGACAATACAGTCCTTGTCTCTCAAAGAAAAAAAAAAAAGTTCATTCAAAATACTTAGTGTGTTCTTTTTTTTCACGCTTGAGCCTGTTTTTTCTCACTTCTTGCTGTATTTTTTTGAAAGCCTGTCCTTTTCTGATCAGAATTACTTTTTTTTTTTTTTTAATGGTGTCTAGCAATGAGATTCACAGAGCAAAATTTTAAAGTTTTTGTTTTGTCCTCTGTAGCCAGAAAGGCTCCTTGTGCACATGGGGTCTAACCATGTCCCTTCACTGTAACAGAGCCAGCTGTTCATCTCTTGTCCTGACTCTGTAGCTGAGGAAGGATACACATATTGGATAAAATACACCCATTGTTCAAGCCAGATTGAAGTGGGATTTGAGTGTTCCTTGGCCAATAAAGAAAATTAATTTTATTCTTTCTGTAAGGGTAATGATTTTCTACAGAGGAGAACACAATGTCTTGCCATTTCTCCACTGTCATTGCCTCCACCTCATTCCCCCTTCTGCTAAGTCGAAGTCTGTAAGTACAAAGACAGAGTTAACTTTCTTGGAAGCATATCAATGGGTAGAGCAAGAGGGGAACTCCTCACCAGGGGCAGTGACTTGATACAGTCCCTCACACCTTAAGAAGAGCTCCAGGAGAGAACCTTCCCTTTGGAAGAGAAGGATCCCAGCAGGATGGGATTTGGAATTTGCAGATGTAGCTGTCATTGGCGTGACTGTTGCAAAAGAAATGTATGGGGCTAAGATGTTCAGGAGACACTCACTACACTGATACTCTTCTGCCTGTTTGTAAACAAATACTATAATTTATAAATAATTAAGTGTTCTTAGTTCAAGCAGTAGATGACCTTCTCCAAAAAGACACAAGTAATTGAACAAAATGTACGGTATGTCTTAGATGTCCTGATATAGGGTAGCAAGCTAGAAGAGAGCTAGAGAATAAGGGACAGCTTCATGTCCCTTGTGTAAATTTTAAAATACAGATGAGGGACCATTGTACACTCTGTGTGGAGATGTGATTATATCTGTTTATTTGCTGTAAGTTGGTTAATACATGATCTCCATATGCACCGACAAGCAGAGTTTGCAGCATGTCCATACCCACGCTCTGCCCTTGCCCTCATGCTGCATGTTGTGCAAGGCAGGCCACTTGTGGAGCTGCCCGAGCTGCATGGAAGGCTGTGCTCTCTTTCTGTAACTCTCCTTTCCCATGTCCCTTTTAGCAAGACTAGTTTGCTCTCCTGGGCGTCAGCCCTGCTGTGACTGTAGAGAAGATACCATTCTGTACAATGCAGGACAGAAAATGTTGCCCTGATCTGGGATTCAGGAAGTGGTCAGTTTGCTGTAAGGTCTCTTTAATACCCAAGAACCATTGCTTTGTATGTTGTAATGTTCTCACTGTTAAGAACAAAACAAAACACACAACGAAATAGCCTCCAAGTTCAGTCTTCTCTTTTTACAGACTTGGTGGTGATGCTAAGTCAGGAAGTTCCATTTCTGTAAAAAAGCAGCACATTAGTTGTTTGTTCATTACTATGCAGACCATGACTACAGATGGTAACATCATCTCTTTGCTCTGCCAGCTTGTTACCTGAATTGTGAACTGCACAATGTATTCCACAAGATCCGGTATGATATTCACGTTCAAAAAACTTCCACAGTGCTGGTCCAAAGGCATCACTATTAACACTGAATCCTGTGTGATGCCTGGCACTTTACAGAAAAACATGGGAAGAAGTTCACTGCCTATAACCGCCCAAAGTCTAGGCACTTAAGGATACAGAGGACTAGGGAAAAACAGAAATAAATAAGCTTAAGCAGAAGTAAGCTAAAAGCAGAACTTTAAAGGAGAGTTTCCGGGACCCCTTGAAGAGAAGCAGCATATTGCAACATGCTTCAGCCCTGTGCTAGAGTGTGTCTTTTGCTTCTAAGCGATTGAGTTTAGAAGCTAATACTACTTTTAGCAAGCTTTGGATTTCATTTTTTTAGAGCTGTTTCAGAAATAGTGGCTTTCTTAATTGGAGGAACACATAACTCATTCTTGGAGGCAGTGTGGGGTTAAAATCCAGATGTCTGTGCTTCAGCTACACAGACCAGAGAACTAGGACAAGATAACAAAGAGCTTTAACTCAAAAATGCATGCCTCTTCAAACTGGTTATCTATAGCTATTTCCCCTCCCTCAGCTGTTTTCTTGGCCTCTCCTTCAGATGTTCCTGCCTGTCTTGCAAGGATTCCCATATCAACTGCTAGGGCAGCCACTGTACACCTTTGTTAATTTTATGTTTGTCTCCATATAAAAAAGTGGGAAACTTGCAAAATGAATAAATAAAAACCATAACTAAATGAGCAGCTGTGTAGGAAGGAGACTGTCCTCTGAACATATACTTAAGATAAAATCTTGCCTGTTTCTCTATATCTGATAAGTGCTGGCTCTCCTGAAAGCAGTTACAATCAGCTGTTAAAGAAAAGCAAGAAATGAAAATGTTAGAAGCAAAACTTTCTCTTTTTTTTTTTTTTCTTTTTTTTTTTTTTTTTTTTTTTTTTTTTTCAATCCAACAGTTAAAATAGTGAAAAGCTGTTTTTTAAAAGAAGTCATATTGGTATCTGTGTCCTTCCCAAGCTAGCATTCACCCCAGATCCCCTGAAATTCATCATGTAGCAGACTGTTCGTGGCAAAGGATTAAATATGACTTGCTTCCTTGTTACTGAATATGATACATCCCTTCCCTCCCTCTCCACCCTGCAGCAGAAATGATGGAGATTTAATTAGACCAAATCAAAACCAGCTTCCAGAAAACAAATAGGATTTAAAATTGTTGTCATAATCATGCAATTATTTAAATTATATCTCTCAATTAATCTTTTAAATACAATGTGTAACAGAAGATTTTAAACCTGATTTTATTGGTCTTTTTGAAGGGCATTAGGACTTTTTAGTCTGATAGACAGTCTGTGGCCTCCAGTAGTGCCTGTAAAAGTTCCTGGACAAAGTCAAGACTCTGAAATGGTAAGTCTTGTTATGATGGAAATCAATTTTTTCACTCACAACTATTATTTTCATTGGTAGTGTAATCGTGTTTACTTTAGGAATCAAATTCTTTCCCTCTCTTTAGCTACTGAATTTTGTTTTACTGGTTCTGGCAACCTCATAGGCTAACCTGAAGCCTTCTGAATCAGCATCATACTTCCAAAATGATGTAATTGGCCCCTTATTAATCCTCTAGAGCTAGAATGGTAGGATGTCCAGACAAATTATTTCTCTCCTTGTGGGAGTGTCATGGTTTGAGCCAGGATTAAGCCAGTTTTCCTTTTACTGTTTTTTTTTCCTTCAGTAAGCTTTCTTTTAACTAGTAGCAGAGTGTTCCAACTAAGGCTGATAACAGAGGAGTGTTTTTCTAACTGCTGGGTTTTCAAGATCACATCTTCTCTCTGCCGGCTCAGACACTACGGGGAGATCTGTGACCCCCCCCATAGGAGGCTGAGTTAGACAGACAGGAAAACTGGCCAGAGATATTCCATATCATATATCTACATAAGCTCAAAGATCACAGAAGACAACTTCCTGCTTCTTCTTCCCTTCTCTTCTGTCCATGGCCAGCATCCGGGGAGGACTTCGTCCATCCATCACTATCGACCCCCAGGCTCGAGCTCTCCTGACCCTCATCACTCTGTGCTTTCTCCAGAAGCAGCTCCGGGATTTCTTGGGACTGTTTGCAGCTCAGGAGATGCTGTGGGTGTTGCTGGAGGTGGGGGGAGGCAAGAGGCTTTTTCACATTCCCTGAACATATTTGTATATAATTGCATATATTTTCTTATATCATTGGTGTTTAATTAAAGCTGTGTAGTTTAGTTTTCAGTCCAGCAAAGTCTCTCTCTCATTCTCTCTCTCCTTCCCTACCTAAGTGGGAGGGGTGGGGGAGGGGATTGAGAGCATTGTTGTCAAACAGTGACAAGGAGCAAAGAGGCATTAGAATGGAGCCATATGAGAAATCTATATACAAGGATATTAACTTGTTCTTTGAAACACTTTTCAACCTTAGATACAGAAACACTTTTATACATAGGTACATAGATGATATTGCCAGCACATTGATAACATTTTGGAAAGGGGTTTGTGGAACTGATTTATTTTGAGCCATATGTGTACATTCAAATACCTTCTTTAGTGCTGAAAGAGGAAAACATAATTTTATGTCTTTTGCTTTTTCCTCTCCTTATGCAGATTTTTTAATGGGTGGGAAGCTGTCTTCAATAGATTCATATTTCTTTTATTAAATGAAATGCTTTATTAACAACAAACATTGCTAGAAGAAATTATTACCATGTCCACAATAAAAATTATTTTCTAGCATTGTCTTTTTTTCTTTCCTGAGAAGCCTTTCTAGTCTGGGATCTCTTTAAGTGATGATTGATAAAGTTGTTACGTCACGGTACTTTTTAAGGGGAAAAGAAAAATCTGGCATAACACAAAGAGAGCAGTTCTTGTAGCTGCTGCATTCCTGTTCTTCATTATCTCCTTGTGCTGTCCTGGATTCAATTTGGCAGCTTTAAAAGTTTGTCAGCTGTTTACTATCACAAAAACCCACCCACATGCAAAAAGTCTCAAAATCTCAGAAAAGTTATGGGTGTTAAAAGAAAAAATAAAAAGAAATAATAATCAGGGCACTCCTACCATGTAATAAAATGCAAAACCAACACCAAGCACCTTGAGATAGTTGCAGTGTTTGCCAAGTGTGCCAAATCATGAGATGTTTTTGTGATGAGGATCAACGTCAGATTATGGAAAGAATGATACATACAAGCTGATTTCACTTATAACTTGTGAATGTTGGTTTATTAACTCCTACTTCAGAGAGCTGCTGTTATTAACCATATAATTTTGTTTTCCTATTCCTCTTAAAATTTAAATGGTATGATTCATTTTGGCTATTATTATAAAACCTGACTGACCAAATTAAAGTGGCTCCTTGAAGGTCAAATTTCTTTTCCTTACTTTTTAATAGATGACAACGAATCTTCCTCCTCCCAGCTTCTGTTATATTCTTACTGCTCGGTCTGGTGAGATACATGTGGAAGTGGATGAGGGAGAACAGATTTCTAATTTGTACCAGCCACCAGCTGTGCATGGTCTAAAGAAAATTCTTCAGGTAACCTGCTTTACAAGTCAGATAGCAAATATCTTCTACTGCTGGATTTCTGGTATCATGTTTGTCTCATTCCCTGTTTTTGTACTATTTTCAGATCGACGGTTGTAATGAACGGTGTAGCTTTTGGGCACAAGTGCTATATCAAAGGATGCAGGTAATCTTTTCACTTAGCAATCAATTCAACATAAATTCAACATAATGTTTATATGAAGAAGCCAGCGTGTCTCTTGTTTAGTGTAAAACCCCAAACCTTTCAGGATTATCATCTAGAGTTGTATGAGCAGATTTAAAATGTTTAAGGTTTAAAATGCTTGTGAATGGGTAAAATATACTGCATCTCCAGTTTCAGTAACATCCAGTCTAGGAAGTGAATTATTTCTGAATAAATTGCTACCTAACCAGGTAGCACTGTGCCCTGGCAAGGGATCTTGCAGGAATTCCCCTGAGACTCTGGTTAAAGCTAAATGCTATCTTTAGATATGTAGTGAAAAGTTCCCAGTCAGTTGAGTGTCTGGGGATAGAATTTAACAGATGATGGTTATATAAAAATACAGTTTTGCTCTTTGCATGCAAGAGTGTGGGCTATTTTTGTTGACTTCAGTAGAAGCCCCTCAAGCAAGTTTGGCTTTTATGGTCCAGTTAGTAGAAAGGAGGAACTCTTAGGTAAGTAGATCTGCTATCCATACTGTGTTGGAAAGCTTATAATTATGTTTTATTTATTTGTTTCTGAATGATGCTACAATTTTATTTCAAAATGTCGCTAACTCCCTCAGTAGTTAAAGGAATTTTTTGCTGCTGATTGATTTATTTTTTCCTGGCGACTGGATCCTCAGTACAGCCAGCACTGAATTCTGGTGGAGAATAATTTGCAATTGTCCATCAGCTCCACAAAGTGTGAATCAAAGCATATGAACCAAAGACAAAGAAATTCCAGAAGGGGCAACAAAATAGCTGGGAGATGCTTCCCACCAGTGAGAGACATAAATTTAATTTAGGTCTTGCCCTTTTGCTTCAAAAGCCAATGAGTTATAATTTGATTTTTAGGCAGAGAGTACTCATAACCACCAAGATGAGGGGGATCTCTCATGCTTTTCTCCGTCCTAAGTAAGAATTTATCAGAGCTTTTGCAACCATGTAATTAGGGCTAACTCAATGGGATCTTTTGGGTGCTAACAGGAAGATGGACACATACATGCATAACCTTCTTTTTCAAAGAAACCTTTCTATTAAAAAATAAAATAAAATGACAGACTAGGGGTATCCTAGCCAAACACTTTCATATTAAGGAATGTTTACATCTTAGATGCTGTGGGTCATCAGTATCCTTGTGTAGAAGCACTAAATCACTACATTAGAAAAAAGATGAAGCATGCAGGAACAGATATGATTTTGAAGAATGGAAACTTGTCTAAAAGAAAAAAAAAAAAAAGGTGTATGATTTTCTTCTTGGTACTAGGAGGTGTATTGGCTGTTTTGGTTTTAATGGCTATTCACTTACTGAACTGTAAGGACTAAATGTTTTGGAAATTAACAACATGAGTGCTTAGAAATTTTTTGAACATAATGTAGGAAACAGAAACAGAAGATCTTCTTCTTCTGTATAACTTCTGGATAACTGCTCTAGTTGTAAAGATATTTACCTGCTGTTAATGTATTGCTTGCCTAATCCTCCCAGAGGAACGTCATGAACAGCATCTTGTCTACTGCAGCTGCCTTTGCCAAGAGGAGATACCCTTCACAGGCAAAAACAGCAAATCATAATAAGTGAGAGACTATTATTTGGTTTATTTTGCAGATTTATTATTATTAGATCATCTGCCATGTGAGCTAATTCAAATGTACTTAAAAATAGTACTTCTACGTAGCTACAGTATTCTGAGATTCTTCATTTGTGTGAAGGAGGAATGGAAATAGGCTTTTATTATCACTCAGAATCCGTACTGTGGTACAGAAGCAATATGAGGAAATATATTCCATCTGTGGTTAAGGAGCTGTCCTTCCCTGTAACTCAATCCTGCTGCTGTTTGTTGTGTCCTCTCTGTTCAGAACAAATTGTCACACATAGCAAGATGATGATTTTATACTAACTTGTGATTTTTGCTGTTATTATTATTTACTTTTTTGATGATTCTTCTGAAAGCCAATTTTAATGTGTTAGTAATTCTCATGGGATGGCTGTAAAAATTCTTTCTTTGAAGCTGTCCTCATGCTGTCTACGCTGAGGAGGTCCTCAAATAGGTGTAGTGTGTAGGCTAAGAGGCAGCAGCAGTGCAATAGGCAGCATATATTGTATTAAGGCATAACCATAATATCTGAGTTATGAATTTTCCCACTCATTATTTTACAATTACTGCATTTATTCTAAGAGCTGCTGAACAAAACCCTAATTTTAGGGTGATTAAAGGTTTCAAGGTTTAAATTCAATGGAAGACAAAAAAATGAGGGTTCTCGTTGCATTGCCTTACACTAGAGACATGAAACTTTGAGAATAAAATGTGATATGTCTCTCCAATCATTACAGTATTTCATTTTCTTTTAAATGTTTTGGGTAAGTTTTTAATGGGAAAACCAATTAGAAATAGCAACAAAAAACTTTTTAAATTAAGAAAGTAATTTAACCTTAGTTTTCTTATTTCATATTAGGATCTTAAAAATGCATGGACTGGTGAATGTGAAATAGGCTTTGTTTTTAAACCATTTTTTTCCAAAGCATGGGAAACTTCACATACACACACAGATATAAAAGCTGTGTTTAAAAAAAAAAAAAAAAAAAGGATTGTCAAATTGTCTGGTTTTGTTAGAGACCCTGAAATGAGCACTAATGTGTATGTAATGACTGTCAAGTCTGTCTTGTTCACCATCTCACTGTGAAAAATTTTAAAAGCACTACTGATTTTCTGATTATTATTTTCAGAAATGAAGGCTGAGATTAAATGTGGGTACTTTGGTTGTGACATCAGCAGTTGTGATACACCTTAATTTATTCACATACCTTTTTGTACTGGTCTCAGGCAGAAAACTTTCATTGTCATTGCAGATTCCTATGTCTCTTACTTATGAGTTACCTACTTTCTGGGCATCATTCAAATATTTAGAAATGTTTGTTCAACAGAAAGAAAAAACTCCAGCTTTGTAACTGGCAGTAGCTATTAGCCAAGGACTGGTGCTCTTGGGAATCAGATAACAGTGTACACGGAAAATTTGCTCACATAGGAACATTAGTAGTAGCATGAGCCTTTTTTTCTTGAAGAGAAAAATTATATAAGTCTATGCTCATAAAAACAGCCAATTAACATTTCTATATGTATGATATATATATATAATACAGTGTATATATAGTATATAATATTTTTTAAGCAAATACCTTTTCAAATCTCTAGTACAGTCCAAGTGAGTTATGATAAAGCACGATAGTTCATAGAAGTAAAGCCAAGATTCCAGTGGCCAACCTGAGAAAGGTTATTTAAGGTTTGTATCTGCAGTTAAGGAATAATGAAAAATCCATTATCCTATACAAGCCTCAAAAGTAATAATTTCTGTCAGTTTTATTGGTTATTTATGCGGATGTTATTTAAATCTTTCCTCCTACTAAGAATGAACAACTGCATTCCAATTTTGTATTTTGTTTGTTTGTTTGTTTAAATCACAGAAAAAACACAGTGTTCCTATAAATCAAAGAGAAATTCAGTTGTTTGTGACTGACTCCACCTTGCAAAGTGTGGTTCATGACACTCCAAAAGTTGTTGCTGTGTCGGTGGCTGCATCGTGTGTTCTCAGGACAGAAATCACAGATGCCCTCAGCGTTGCCTCACAACTTGTCTGCTTCAGGGATGCCCTGTGGGGAAACGGTGAGCTCTGTGCCTGGTTTTGAAGCAGCTGGAATCCAACTGAAGTAGCATCCTAACCTTTGACACTGCAATACGTGGGCTGCAGAGATTTTCGTTTTCAGATGGAGATGAGATGTTGCAAGTTGGGGAAGAAATTTGAAAGGATTTGTAATTAGAGCTTTCCTGCAAGGTTGCTTTTCTTGCATTTTTTTTGCTTCATCTACAAATTAAAGGAGAAATTCAGTGATCTTGCTGTAGGTCCACCAACATTTCTGTCAGTCTTCCCTGATGGCTGTTGAATCCAATGAGCAGTGTCAATCAAATTTGCTAGCTGGCAGAAGTCTCAGAGAGTCACAGTTTGACTGACTGTTGTAGGTCCCTTCCAACTAAAATAGTCTATTCTGTTAAGAAACTTGGTTTCATTTGTTTTTATCTTCTTGCAGAAACTTGTTTTATTGAGTTTACTACCTGTAAAAGGAGTAACAGAGGGCATCTAAAGACTTGTGTGTCCCTAGACACAGAACTTTTACAAGTCCTATACTATATTAGCTGTGAGCTTTTACCACTGGAGGCAATAACCTGTGTAAATGACTGTGTGTCATGAAGCAAAAATCTCTGCTTTGGAGACTAAAGCATTGCATGCACCTAGTCTTTGTAATCTTTGAAACAAAGTAAGACCCCCTTGAAGGGGTGGCCAGGCTTATTACCAGGGAAGACACAAAGGGGACATGGTGTTTGTGGGGAGCATGGTGCAATGCAGTCAGAGTGGAATCGGACTCTAGTCAGCCATGGTTGAATTTTTAAAACATCATCCTTTTTCCCTGGAGTCACGAAGTGTAATGAGAGTGTGATGCATGTATCGCTGAAAGCAAAATATTTTGTCACTGAGAAAACTTGATGGAATCTATCCATCTGCTTAGTAGCTGGCAGAGATGGTTGTCTTTATTGGCCATGACAATTAACATGGTCACCTTTTTCCTTGTTACTGTACTGAGCTGAAATGTCTCTGTTGGCAGGTATGATTATTTGTGTTGAACGTACTGTTCTCTTATTACAAAAGCCTCTTTTGTGCTCGGCTGCCGGTGCTGACCTCAGTGAGCTGACTGGCCCTGTCAGACTCGATGAGCTGGATTCTACAACACAGGCCAACTCCATTTGTGCTGTAAGAGGTTTGTATGGCCTTTCCTGAAATTAATATGGTTAATTATTTGTGCTCACTTTAATCTTTTAGGTCTTTGTATTGATTTCTTGGACAAATAGTGTGGGGGGATAAAAAAGCACAGTATTCCTGTGGTTCATTAGGGTATTTTCAGTTTTCATACTTCTTTGTGGGCTCTGTTTGCTAGCCAAGCTCTGCACCCACTCACTCACACTCCAGGAGAAATGTTTGATGCACAACCTGTTTCCTTATATTCCTTTGCCATCTTTGAGGAGCCTTCTGTTCACACCAGCCATGTTGATGTTGGCAACAGTAAAGTATACCAATGTTTTTTAGGCAGATGGATGTGTTAGCCAGACCATGAGTGGTAGGGGTTAGTGTCTGATTTCCCTGGAACTTTGCTGCAGTGGACAATATAATATTTCACCATAGTAATCTAGCATAACTTGGCCAATGTTTTCTCACCAGCCACTTTGGATCAGTGCTTTGTCTAATATTTCAGTCCTACCACTAACCATGCAGAAATATTTCTTACAATGTATTTTCTAACATTTCCTAATCATGCAGAAACGTTTCCTACTGAGTATTTTCTAACACTTTGACGAGTCAGCTTCCTAAGCCTCCCAGCTGTAGAGTGGCTATAGGGAAAAGTCCTTAAAAACTCAGCAACTCTTGGCTTTTAAGGGCAATTTCCTCTCTTAATTTAACTCCTATGATTCCAGTAGCTCTTGTAGAAAATTCTGGATAACGTTTTACATTTACACCTTCAAACATTAACTGGAGCATTTGACATGAGCTTTAAAACAATAGGAAATAATGGTTACAAATTCATCCTTCCAGCTATGGAAGGATTGATGCACATGATGCACTGGAAAGGCAGTTTGAATCCATGCAAAGCTGTTACTAAACACCTTCTCCTATGGTAAAGCCACAAGTTAGCAATGCCTCAGTGATTAATAAATGAGCACCCTGTGGTGACCAATCTTGAACTCTTAACACTGCATAATGGAAAACAAGCACAACTAGAAGCACTTCACTCAAAGCCTTGGTTGCTATGTACATCTCACATCAATATTAGGAGTTACTTGAAAGGTATCACTGTCACTGGGTGAGAAGTACTTTTTGACTTTTTTTTAACCTCTCCAGTAGCTATGTTGAGAATGATCATTTCTCCACTTTTCATTATATAACTAAATATGAGAAGTGCCTGTCTTCTTTTGTCCCATTGACAATGTACCAAGAACGATAAAGCAAACATTTCTCTGTCCTTTCTTTTTGCAGTAAAGCAAAGAAAATACACATTTCTCATCTATTATGTAAACAAATACTTACTTTACACACATGGGAGGTGTTATGCATTCCCTGTTCTGTATTACAGATGGAAGGACAAAAGGATAAATTAATCTTACAACCTTGTTTTGCTTCATCTGAAATGTGTCCAGGGCAGCTGTTACCACTAGTTTCCTACACTTTTGTACCAGTGTAGAATATAAAGTGTCTTCTCTATACCTGTGCTGCCTGTGGGTGGTAACTATTTTTTTGTGCAGCCGAAAATTTTTAGTAGCACTGAAGATATATATCCAGTGTTTTGGAATTCAGGTAGTTATTGCCTACATCTTTCTGCTAAAGAAGTGAAACTTACAGCATTAACCCTACTTTGTTGGTGGGAGCAGAGGTATTTGATGGAGTAACCCATGAAGGAAAATGTATCATCTCTAAAATTCCCTTAAGGTCTCTTTCTCTTAACTCAGAGGGTTGTCAGTCTGGCTTTCAATGAGAAGCAATATTACCTTGTTCATTCTCTTCCTTTGTGACCTCCTTTCACTTCCTGTGCTTTTGGTCACCAAAAGTTCTATGTGGACCTCCTCTCACCTAACACAGAGGCTGCAAAGGCTTTTACTCTACTCCTTTTTGTGGCAGTGTTTTCTTTCTGCTCCTTTGCAGTCATGGCTACTTCTCCTGGCACTCAGGGATTTGTCAGGCTCAGTCCTCCCTAGAAAAATCTTCTTTTTAACCAGCGTAAAATGCAGGTGCTGATAAACTTCCCCCTCCACAGATACAGTGATTGGTCACAGCATCAGAGCCTCCAGGAGTAGCAGGACTGCCTGCTGGATTTTAGGTAGATCAGTCATTTTTTGGAAGGTATATGATAGAGTAAGTTAGGTTGGAAGGAAACTCTGAAGTTTCTCCAGTCCAAATTCCTGCTCAAAGCTGGGCCCCGAGAAACCTGGTGTAACTCTATAGCTGGCCCAGCTTTGAGCAGGAGTTTGGTCTGAATGAGCTTCAGAGATTCCTTCCCCATCAGAAAGCACAACGTTGCGGTCCAAGCAGAACCAGTGAGTTTGTCAGAAATCCTTGTTTCGGGGAGGTCCAGTCATACCAGCTCTGGCATGGAGTGCATTGCTCTGCAACAGATGAGTGAAACCTGTGGTTGCTTTCTACTGCAAAGTTTATTCTTTTAAAGATGAGACTATGAGCTCAGGGTTAATAGATTTTCATATCTCTATCCATTGCAAAGTAATTTCTAACTTCTTCTTGCTGTGTAGTAACACTCAGGGTGACTTAAATGTTGGCAGTTCAATACTGCAGTGTTTTCCTCTTAACCATTATGAGGAAATTCTAGTTAGTCCATACCACGTATGATATATGGGAATATTAATTGATCGGTTATGTTTGCCTAGTATATGACTTACTACCAGTGACTGAATTTTGACATTGGGTATTTAAATATCTAAGCACTTACTCAAGGATGGGGTTGGTTTTTTTTCAGTTTCTGTCCTAACAGTGTGAGTAAAATGGGATCAATCAGCTTACCTGGGTTTCTCTTTTTGATTTAACTTTCCCCTTCCTGTCCATTAATCAGGATAACTGATTGGAAAAAATACTACACACATTAGTTTTTCAACCAGAGTTTTAATCCTCAGCTCTTCTTTGCATTACTCACCAGAGACCTGTTTTTCCAGGTGTTGTCTTCTTGTCAGTCTCTTTTTCATGGTATCAGTCACAAGCCATATAGATAGACTAGAGGTAAAAATAAAAATCTGGCTATGTGCTTTTTTATTTAAAAGAAAGATTTGGGGAAAATATCCAAAAGGCTTGTGAACATCAAGCAAAATCTAGAGTCTTGAGAAAGATGTGCAGCAGTTCAGCAGCTTAATCTGGAGAAATCACTTTGCAGGCAGGCTGCACAAGGCTCTCACTAGGTTATTAGATCTGTTGCCACCTTCTGTTGTACTTGTTCTGACTTCGGTGATTTCTGGTGTTTTTATCAAGAGAACTCTTTATGTTGTCATCAAAATAAACATCTCCACTAGTCAGAAACATGTCAGTATGATCCTGATTCATTTCCTTCACATGTACTTGTATTACTTGTGCACTGGCATCCTGTAGTTGCAATATAGCACACAACTGGGGGAAAGTTAAAAGGCTGGAATGGCAGAAAAGGGATTTTGTTTTGTTCAAATGGTTCTTCTAATGAAAAAGTGAATATGTTCAGCAAACTAATCGGTAGCTTTTCTTTTCCACGAACAAGGGAAACATGCTCATACTGTGGCAGAAAGCATCCTACCAAGTGCTGATGAAACTCCCAAAAACTTTATCACAAAAACTGAAGAATCAAAATCATTCCTGTAACAATCCAAGGGGTTAAATGCACAGAATTGCTAATTCTATCTGTGAAAGTGTTTCATTTATCTGCCCCGAAATTGGATCATAAATTTTATATTTTAGGAGCTTTCCTAATATTCAGACTTGCTGTCCTTTGAATTCCCAAAGAAAATGACAGTTTTGTTGTTTATGCATAGCTCCCTCCTTCTGTCAGTCCTTATCCCAGGAGAACTAGGAAAGCAAGGGATTAACAACCTGTGTTACAGAGCAGACAAGGTAAATACTCCCTAATATCCAAGGGTTTTGTTCATTGAATGCAGTATAAAATTTTTAGTCTATCCTTCTGTTGTACCAGTGAGGGTTTGTTTTAGTGTAATTTCATTCTTACAGGTGATCCACTTTGTACACTTTGAAATACTTAGAAGTATTTCCTCCATAAATAATGCTCATGATTTCAGCGTATCATTACCATAAAACATAATACACTCTTTATTGGCTTCTCTAAAACTCTAGATACATTTTTTCTTGCCAAAACTAACAAGGCCCTTTGTATTAGTCCAAAGTATCTTTGGCATTCACTCCTTAAGCACACACTTAAATCTGTTGGCCAGATCTAATATCTGTTAAATCAGTATAAATGAAGAATAACTCCATTGTTAATGGAATTTAACTAGCATAGTTGTTTTTTAAAGGAATTGGGTCTTCTCGTTGACTTATGTTTCCCAAATATTGATATCAAGCTATCTGACCATGTGATTTTTATAGCTATTTATTTCCTGGGGAAACATCAGATGACCAGAAAGAAAACAAACAAACAGAAACAAATCAGAAAAACAGTAAAACCCACACAGAAAAAGAACTGAACCTATTTGGATAGTTAATTATCAATTATCTACTTTCTGGTGTTTTTAGAATGTAACATATGCTGCCAAAGTATCATCCCTTGTTGGAGAGGCAAACGAAAAAGGAAGAGAGCTTGTTGGAAGTGCTGATGCTTGCTCTGATCAGTCTGATTCTTAGGCTGAGAGTCAAAAAGGATCAAACCTGCTGTGCAAGCAAACAGGAGTGGCTGTTGCTTGCTTTCTGCTAGTGTTTTGCAAGAATTTCATCTTCTGCAGGTACTATTGTTGGAGTTAATGAGAGGACTGCTTTCTCCTGGCCTACATGCAACAGATGTGGCAATGGAAAGTTGGAACTGTGTCCCCAGGACAGGTGAGAGTCAGCATGCTCCAGAGCACTCCAGGTGTTTTGCAGATGTAGCCATAACAGCAGCAGGTGATGCAATGATTCCTGCAGGCACAGGCTGCACTTTGTTCCTTCCTAGAACTAAGACGTAGTATTTTTATTGCTGATGAACTGATAAAACCCACAAGGTTAGATTAATTTATTAAGAAAGATACAAGTAGATATGAAATTGTTTGAATTTGCAGTTATCACTTTTTTTTAAAAAACTAATCTTGAAGTATTGCTTATAAAGTTCATAGCCCAGTGCATTATGCCACTGCATTATAATACTAGTTTTAATAAATATACACATAAATCAAAGGTCTGATTTTAAGTTCCTTTAAAAGTAGCTTCTTGTGTACCTTGTTACATCCTGTGTACCACCAATTCAACTCATTCTTCTATTGAACTGTGCTCTTTGCTGCAATTTATCTAAGTATGAAAGAGTTGTGTCTCAGACCTGTTGAATTTAGAACCTTTCTAAAAAGGATTTTGAATAATGCTGGGAGTGTGACTGTCCCAAACGTGAAAACTGATCCTATAGAACCTGTTGCCACCTGAAATGCTGAACCTGCATCACACTGGCATGCCCTTGGAGACCCTCCCCTTCAGCTGCTTAGCCAGCTTGCTCTTGCAGAGACTGAGATACCTGATGGGGTTAAAAACGAGAGGATGAGAGAGCAGTCACTGTGTAAAAAGAGGAAAAGGAGGAGGTTCTTTCTACTGCAAAAGCTTACAGAAAGCTTAAGGACAAGTTGGGTGGGTTTGATCCATTGAAACAGATAACATTTTCCTAAGTAGGAGAAGCTTTCCACTGATGCTTTGTTATGATGTGTAGCCTCTGGGGGGGGAAGGGCTGAAAATAATTTTTTAAAAAGTTCTTACTATATACATAGTATCTTACAAAAAAAAAAAAAAAAAAAAAAAAGGCTGTGTGTATGTTCACGCAGTAGTGCAGTTCAATAAAAATCCTCTCTACTGTGAAGGACCCTTTCACTTAATTTGGATAACAATGTAGCATCAATATTTGTTTAAGATGTTGTTCAAGGAAGCACTTACAGCTCAGCTTAATTTTATGCTTATGACTTGTGTGTGCTGAAAATGTTCAATGTTTGCCTAAATCAGTAAGTCACTTGGGCCAAATCTATACTACAAATATTTTTTTGTCCTAACTTTTAGAAAGTTATGAGATTAGTATTTGCTTAAATGGGGTGACTATAAATAACAACCTCCCCCCATGTTGCCAAAACTTATAAAAGAAAGATCCTCTTGCTAGAAGAATTTGGGTCCTCCAAGAGAGTTACTTGGCTCTATCAACAGAAGAGCTCTATTTGCTGTTAGCAACTGAATCTCTACCAGGGTTTTCCTATTAAAAGTCTTACCAGCAAAGTAATTTAGGGAATAAGCTAGCTGGGGGGATTGGGTTTTTTTAAACATTTTGATTCACAACTGATGGCTTTTCCATTTCTCTCTGTTTCGTCATCATTATTTGCGTATTTCAGAGAATTGCTGTATTGCAACCAGTGCTCTGGAGTTGTGATTTCACCAGTGTTGAAAATGCAACTAGAAGTCTTCTTGAGCTGTCCATCCCGACCTCAAAGTACAGTAAAAGTAAAGGTAGGGCACGAAAGTGAGTACAGTGAGGCTAGATGTGTAGGCATATAAGTCCTCCTAAGTCCAGACTTTATTATAAAACAGCTCTATCAGAAGAAAAATTAAAAGATGTAAGAATATCCCATAATTTAATCTGGTACTAAGCTTGGGTTTCATTGGACTAAGAACCTGGTTCCCAGATCTTATTCAATATAATACAGTCATTGAGTTCATCCTGAGGTTTGCAAACTGTTTATAGTTCAGCTGATGCACTTTGTTGGGTTGGGCCTTCGGAAACCTCAGTCTCTGCAGCCTAAAAGGAACATGTATTTTTAGACTCCCGTTCTGAACACCTTCTGTTTCACCTCTCCTCCGCTTTCTTGGCCAGAGAAACAAAAGCTATATTAAAATGATACTAAATTAAATTATATTCTATATTAAAATGATAAATTTTTGTTCAGCATGACTGTTTTAACCTGCAAACAGAATGCCTTTGCATACATAAGATTTTTGTCATGCACAAAACCTGTTCATTTTCTCATTCCAGCTGTTGCAAAGGACAATCTCTTCTCTCCTGATGTCCCCCACCAGTGAGGATGGGGTAGGTATAATGAGTGCTGATGAAAGAAAGGTAAACTACATAATTTACTGTAGAGGCAGAGTACAGGAGACATTAATCAGATGGGAAGGTACTTGAATCATAAAAATGGAAGGGACTTCTGGAGATCTTCATCCAACCTATCACTCATGGTGAACTATTGCCAAGGCATGAGCAGATCAACCATGACTTTGATTTGCAGGATCCTGAAAACCTCCAGGGAATGGAGATTCTGCCTTTCCAGGCAGCCCGTTTCAGAACTGCACTAGGAGCAGTGGGAAATTTCATTAGATACAATGATATTTTTTTTTCTCGTATCCAGCCTGGGATTTGAGTGGGCTGAACCCTTTGGTAGTCCCACCTTCCACTTGCTGATGCTCTGCTGTTGCATGACTATCATCAGCTGATATCCACCTTTTTTAGAAGAGGGGTGCCACAGGCAGGGGGTGCAGACAGCTGTAGCTCAGCTGTGGGTCTGCAGAGCTATCCACAGATAGCACCATGTCCAGACATGCAGGGCTGTGACGAGCAGTGTGCTGGGCTTTACTCCATTTTCTGGCTGAGGATCCAAAGACAGCAGTGATACAGTCCAAGCATCCCACCTTTTTGGAATGGTCTTCTAAACTGTACAAACCACAACTACTTTCTGATAGCATAACCATGAAATTACTGGCAGGCAGTAATGGCAGAGAAATCTGCAAAACTCATGCGAGATAATAATTTACGACTGTATGAATGAAACGTGTGAGCCACGGGGATCCATGGGCTAAAGTACAGTTTCTGTAATGGCAAAGTAGTTATTCCTTTAATCTGAGATATCAGAAGAACCCTGACATTTGGCACAGTGACCCAGATTTATCGCAGGTGAGGGAGGCACCCGGCGAGGTGCCTGGTTGGCATTGGCTGCTGGATGGTCGGCAGCAAAGGAGTGGCACCTTCAGAGGGTGATGAAGTCCAGTTAGGATCCCGAGATCCCTCCCTCTCCATTGCACGTGGAAGGGAGCAAAGATCAGCTTGTTGTCTTGTTTAATCATCCCAGGTACGTATCTTCAGTTAGGTGACACGTATTGGGGTCGTTTTGCTTTCCCTATCTTACATGGTTTTCTAGGACTTTGCTGTTACATGCTCCAAGGATGTGATGGGATTTATAGATGATTTTAAAAGTGGAACATTTCTCTGAAATTGTAAATTCTTTTTCTTATACTAGAGTGTGTATATTTCATTTAAGCAATGAGATAAAAGAAGCTTCCAAAATATGTTTGCTCTTTTAATAGCAGTTAAGTCTTGCTAAGTTTTATAAGATGTGTCTGGTTTCATTACAGACTGGCAAAACGTAGTTCTTTTTTGAGTTACTAGAATTCAAACAACCTCTTTTTCGTGTTTCTGTTTTTATAATGCTAGTATTTAGAAGTCTGGCAGCTTAGAAACTTTTTTTTTTCCTTAGCTTAAATGCGGGGATAATTTTTTCCTTTTTTGTTAATAAGCATTTCCATCTCTCAACTGCTTGATTTTAAAAAGCAGCACATCTCAACAAAGATTAATCACAAGAAATACCACTTGAGGTGGCACTTTTTTGCCAGTACTGCTGAAGTTTCTTTTTTTGTAATCACGTCTTCTGGCAGGATGGTTGGTTTTAGCTGCTGCTGCCCCTGGCCACTTGTTCCTTACCTTGTGACAGCTCTTCTGTTAACATAGCTGTTTGTCCAGCTGCATGGTGAATTACATTGCAGAACCAGTCTGGGGTAAAAATAATCTAGAGGTAAAAAAAAAACAAAACAAGGGTTGTTTTTATCTTGAATCAGGGAAAAGACATGGGCCTCACATACCTGTACCAAGGCACAGCCCAGATGGAAGTGGGGACATGGTCAGAAGCTGATCATAGGCAAGTCCCACTGAGGAAAGAACTGGATGTGAACCAGACAGGCTCCCTCTTGGGCAAGGTGTCAGCTATAGTTGTCACCAGTTCTTCTGTTAACCTGCTCTCTCATCGTAGAGAAGTCATCCCTGCCTCACATCCCTGTCCTCCATGCAGAATCCAGTCTCTGCAAATACCCTCAGGCAGAACTCTGTAGGTAAACAGCTGCTCAGGTCCTTGCACTAAAGGGACTGTGGAGGTGCCAGTGGATATAAACGATGTGTGATACAACACAAAGTTAAAAGTAGGGAAGGGGGGGGGAGGGGGAGTAAAAAGAGTTAGAAAATATGTTTTTCTTTAGCGGATCTGTTAACAGAGGTAATCGATAGGTGGTCTGTATGTACACCTTGCTGTGCTTGTGAAATCCTGCCGTGTCAGAAAGGCAAGAAAAGGAGCACGTGCAGGTTATGCTTCAGCAAACTGAGTTCAAAGTCACAGTCGGGGTCTTTTAATTATTTTTCAAACAGCTCGTTTTTAAAAGCCTGCTAGAGAAGCAACACTTTTAAGCAGAAGTGAGATCTAATTGTTGGAACTTGACTGTATTCTTTCTCTGCACCAGTTCTAATGCATCTTTCTTTTTGAGTCCTTAAAAAACTTGTCTGTTGGAAGAGGACCTCACAACCCTGCATCTTCCAAGCCGAATGCTGTTTAGAACAGAATGTCCAGGACTGTTTGTTTTAATCAACATGCTTTTATCACTGCAGAGCTATGAGCTGCAGAGCGTGCTGGGAAAGGAGGTGGGGTTATTGAACTGCTACGTCCACTCCATAACCAACCACCCCGACTGTGTTGGACTGGAGGAAATTGTTCTTCTGGAAGCAGCAGAGAGACACTGAGCTGAACTCTGGTCAGCTTCTGCAGTATCTGTGGACTTTGTAATCTGGTTATCTGTTAACTAGTGCCACAGATAATGTATAATGCAAGCGTGATAAGTATCAAGATAGTTTATTAAAACTGTGATTTACAAAGCACGTTGTGCTAACACTGGAAAAAAAATCTGTTAAAATTCTGTTCAGCTTTCTGAAGTCTTATTTTTTTGATCAGTTCAGAATTTCAGAAGGCTGTTCTTTGGCATGTTTGCTGTTCATGTATGTAAAACACCTTGTTCTGGAAGTTTTGAATAGTTGTGAATTTTTTTATAATACTGTATTTATTATGTGTCAATGGGAAATACTGATATTTTTTAAATAAATACCTTGCTGTAGGCAGTGAACATTGGTCCAAGCTGAGTTTTATCAGCAGATTTCAGGTGTGCCACTGGCTACAGTGCACTGTGTTGTGCTGGAATTCTGAGTTGTAACATTTGTTATCACCTGACAATAAATGTTAATAAAGACAGAGATTTGAACAAAGTTTATATTTTGAAGTGTCAAGCATCTATATGAAGTTAATGTTTTACAGCTAATTGGTCTCTACACATAGAAGTGCTGCGTTATCTGCAGCTTCCCACAAAGCAGATGTTTCATTACACAGTTTCTGTGAGGTGCAGAGTAAATTGCTTTGTAGGCCCTGTAACTATCCTCACCCTGACTGTACAGAGACATGGATTACAGATCAGATAAATGATACCGAAAGATATTTATTCCTGTGTGCATTGTTTGAGATGCAAGAATTAATGTAAGAGTTCAGTCAGATAGGAGATTATTTTCCCCTTTCATGGTTTTTAAATAGCCCTTACGGGTTACAGAGAAGGAGGAATGGTTTTGCACAGGTCCAGCATGTGATTATCCAGCAGAAAAGGACCAGCAAACTGGTTGCTACAGAATTCATCCCTGTGGCCAAGGACAAGCATGGAATGTTTACATGCATCACAATTCCTACAGGAATGACCCCAGCTTTTGAATCCCCTTTCTTTCCCATCCCCAACACCCATCAGTCTCCTTACCTGCCCTCCTGTAAGGAAGAAGAGAATGTCAGCCTGACCCTGCCAACAGGGACTGCTCTGTACATGATCAGGGGGGCCCCATCGACATCAGCAAAGTTTCTCTCTCTCTTAAGACCACACTGGCTGATGGAGATGCTTGTCCTATCTGGCCATTTTTTCTGCCCTGAAGATGCTGTCATCTTTGTGCTTGCACCATCAACATCCAGCCAAGTAGCCTGACCTGTCGCTCCGCAGTCACCCAGGCAGTGGCCTCGCTGCCTGCTCTCCCTGCCCCTGGCAGGGGCCAGAGCCAGGGCCCAGAGCTGGGAAAGCCCCCCGCGGGCTGAAGGGCCTGTGGGCAACAGCATCTCCTGCCGGACCGCAGCTGGAGCAGACCTGGGGG